GTGTGACCAGACTGATGTCTTGCGACAGCTCTCAGGACTTGGTGTCCTCTGAAACCAGTAACCTGGGATTGCTGGAGTAGATCAGACTTGGAAAAATGAGGCAGGTGTTGTCTTTGCTTATAGCTGTGAAGAAGAATTAGACATGGCAGAAATACAGTTTTACCTTCTGGTGGGAATTTGGAGAATAAATTCCTAGTAGCATCAGCAGTGTCACCTGAGAATTAATTATGAATAGGTTTTATCCACCCCAACACACTTATTCAGTTTTCATTTTCATAAGATGCTTGGATGATTTGGTCACACACTACAGCTTGAGCACTGCCCTACTTAGCTTTTCAAATCATTGCCTATAAACTATGAATCATAATTTAGAGTGTCTTTTATCATCTAGTGTCTTAATCTTTCTATTATTGCCTCTCATTTGACCTCTTTATCTCTTCATTTAGGTTGATGAAGAGTATCAAAATCCTCACACTGTGGATCGAGTCCCTATGGGAAAATTGCCTCACATGTGGGGTCAGTCTCTATACATTTTAGGAAGCTTGATGGCAGAGGTAAGGGGATACTTGAAAGCTATCCCACCTTTTAACTTATTTTTTTTCTTTAGTCACCATAATGATTAGATGCAATGAACTCACTAAATTCAAAGAATGTCTTCTTCCTTTTGACTTTGACTTAATTATAGCTTTTTCTCCATGTCCTCAGCATGGGAGTTATGGCCAGTGCTTGATGAAAATCTCTTGCTCCCTGGCAACTATGTCCATCCTGCTGTCCACAGTTCCCTATTTTGGCATTGTACTTGATGCTGTTCAGGAATCAAGTTGTGGATCTTTCCCTTTCCAAACTCCCCTGGGTGCCTTGCCTGGTGCCTAATGAATAGTTATGCTTAGTAATTACTAGTGATGGCTTCAATGCCAACCTTGCTAAGCAATATAAGGTTTCATTCCTTAACTGAATTAGCTGATCGTTTTGGGCACTTTGACTAGTGCTTGCTAATAACTGTGTGGTCTTTCTGTTTGGTTAGCTAAGATTTCTTCTTTTACTTTTGGTAAGGAACTCTCTAAATGTTCTTTATACCAAATTCTGTTAAGATGGCTCTTAATGAAGCACAGTTTTGTACCCAGTTTATCTGGGGGCATTTTGAGCCTACATAGAAGGATATTTCTTTTTATAAAATTTCCAATACTTCCTGAAAAACGTATTTCCCACACTATAGGTTATTGTTTTTTAAGACACAAGGTCTTGCTATGTAGCAGTATTTGACCTTGAACTTTCCACATAAACCAAGCTGGCCTTGAGCTTGCAGTGATCCTTCTTTGTTTCCTGAGTTCTGAGATTACAGGTTTGTGCCATCACACCTAGCATGATTGTTTTGATTTGATAGACCCAGGTTCCTGGAAAACCTAGTTTGGAACTTAGCTGGCACTTCTGAGCAAGATTTTTCCATGTTTATGACCATTTATTTTCTGCAGCTGTATTCTTGGTTTTGTTTTCTGTGGCCTTGGCTGTTATCTTAATTGATGTGAGTGTGGAGCTAGAACTAATGAGCATAATGCTTTGCAATCCTTGCCCAGCAGCTTTCTCATCCAACAATAAATTAAATTGGATGAAAACAGGAAGGATTCAGTATTATTAAAGAAAATGGGTGAGTTCATCTTATTGCACAATATATAGGAACTAAGGAAAAAGATTTCTGCTAGTCAAAAAGCACAGCAAACACAGGGACAAATAAGCAATGTTTATTATAAATTTTAGTTTAATATATTTTGAGAATTTGATGCATGAGTATTGTATTTATGTTATCTTCACCTCTTGCTCCCTTCCACACACCCAACCTGCCTAGTTCATTTAATGTTGTTCGTATGTGTATCTATTTAGAACTGACCACTTAGGCTTGGATAACCTATCAGGATCTCATTTCTGGAGAATACGGATTCTCCCCTTCTCAGCATCCATTAATTGCCTGTAGCTCTTCACCTAGTTCTTCTGAAATTTTCCCCATTCATGTTGGTATGTCTACTGATAGTATCATTGTGCTGATCTTGTTTAGGTGACTATATTTTTAATTTCATGGGTGAAGCTTCCCTGCCATATATAGAAAGTGCAATACATCACAGTAGATGTTCTGGTTCTCTGGCTCTTAAAAGCCTTCCACTCCCTCTTCTATTATGTTCCCCAAGCTTCAGGAATAAGGGTATTGTACATGCGTTGATAGGGGTTGAGAACAAAGTCATTTGTTCTCTGCATTTTAACCACTTTTGTTGTTCTTTATCAGTTTCTGCTGCAAAAAGAAGCTTCTTGGATGAGGGGTGAGAGCTATATGTACTTGTGGGTATAAGGATGGGTATTTAGAATTCAGTTAGGAATGGTGCTCTCTCAGGAAAGTGGTAGTAATAGGTTTAAGTTTCATGACCTCAACAGCTAAGGGCAATTGGCTAGGTTTCCAGTATGAGTTCCTTTATATTGAGTTGGCCTTAAGTCCAATTAGACATCTGTTGTTTGCCTCCAGGAGATAAGAACCACTTATCTTGGACCCTTGGGGGATATCTTGCCATACTGGTCATTGTTGTGGTTCATAGGTTTCACAGCTGTTCAGGACTATTGATTGCTTTTCTCTCTTGGTAGCTTGCATAACATTTTTGGTAATTTAGAGATCTAATCATCAGGTAGGAAGCTTTCAGGTCAGTTTCAGCTCACTTCCTTCTAGTTTTGTGTCTGAATATATGGTGTCTTCAACTATTGTGTCTTACTTTCAAGTTCTGTGAGACAACCAAGGGAGATGGCAACAGCTTACATATAGATCCCCCCTCCCTTCCTTCCTTCCTTCCTTCCTTCCTTCCTTCCTTCCGTCCTTC